ATTCCATAATAGCTCCAATAAAGAATATGTTTATTTTACCTGGAATTTTTCTGTTTCCACTGGATCAGAGTTCTTTTGTATTTTATATCCTAACCAGAAGTCAATCATTTCATCATGTTTTTTTTTTAATGAAATTTACTTTGGCTTTGAGTTCAAGATAGTGAGCACATGCCTTTTTACTTTTCCTCCAGGTCCCATTACATTAATAATAAAGGAATAAGCAAGTGACTATACTCTCAAGAAGTAGGGAATGGGGAGGCTCTATCCTAGACCAGAGATTTCAGCACACATCCAGAAGACAAAGTGAATAGAAGAGTATGAACTGGGAGACAGAGAAAAGCAAGCGGTAGCCTAGCATCTGAGCAGTCCAGCACAACCCCAGCAAGACGAGCATCAAAGATCGCTCTGGGAAATTAATGAAGAAGCTGAGAAATGGGGCTAACAGTGCAATTAGTAATCGAAGGTCTTTATGTTGACTAATTGCCCCTCTTCCTTATGCTTATGTGCTTTTATAGCCAGGTGTTTACTCCCTTGACAAGATACTCAAACAGTTCTCTAAGGGGTATTTATACCAAGTAAAACCTTCCTTTTCCTCATCTGTGGGGGTCCCCACAACATAAAATATGGTTCAAAGCAGGGTTTGAGATCCAATTTCTTAGCCATATCTTTGTCATTTAGGGAAAGTTACTTAGTTCATTGCCTCAGTTTCCTCATTCATAAGATAAAAGTACATCCATCATAAAAGGTTGTTGAGAATTTAATGAAATCAAAGTGCTTGGCACAGTACCTAGAACATATTCAATAGATTATAGCCATTGTCATTTTTATTGTTATTAATGAATTAGTTGTTTTATGTGTAAAGGAAGAAAGGAATACAAAGGTTAGGTTTTGGAAAGAAAGAGTAATATCTCTTCTAATAAGGTAGGAGAGAAACAGATCAGAATGGATATCAATGCATGTGGGTGTAGATTACAAATCAAAATCCCCACCCTACCCCACTTTCCTTAGCAATACTGTGTAGAATGAGAAATCAGTATGTACAGGGATTCCAAATAACCTAAAAATATCCATTATAAATTGCATTCAAATGGCATCCATCTGATATTCCATATATATTCAAACAAAATTATTTGCTTGGAAAAACTCACTGTGCTAGTGGTATTTCCAAGACATAAGACAAAGGATTTCTTTTTTTTAATATTCTGTATGGAGTGTCATTAACAGCCAATACTGTGTCCAAAGAATCTTTCGTGTTATGGAGTGAGGAGAATAGAGCAAAGAACCCAATGAAAGGTTAAAACTGCTTTGAAATCTTGTGATTTACACTAAAAATTAATGTAAATATGGCTGAATACATTGATATATTTTAATATAAAACTATTTTTGCTTCACATGGAGTAGACATCACTGGTCTAGGAAGATATGCCATGTTTCTCACTTACCTCTTTCATACTGCTAAAAATATTTGATTTAGGATAGATCACTATTCTTAGGTCCAGACCAAACAGCAACAAGTTTACTTAAAATTATCTACTTACTCTAATCACTTTAAGTTCATATTTAAAATATTGTGAGGTTAGCACACATGATGACTGGCCAGTTTGATTTTTTAAATCAATCAAAATGGTTTTTACATAATATTAAAAAACTTAGTGATTAGCCTACAGTTTCCAATTTTGAATCATCTTTGGTCTAAGTAATATTGCCTAATAAACATAAATTACTTTATCAACAAAATAGTTGCTCAAAACGACTGCTTAAATTTCAGTTTCATACTTTCTATGTATTGCAACTAGCGAGTGTACTCCACAGGTTAGATACTTGCAGCTTCCCTAGCTTTTCCCGAACCCGTGTGTGTTCATAGGCCCATTTTTTTCTGATTTTACAGCCTCCTTGTCACTGTTATGCACAGCCAAATTCCTTCTTAGTTCATCAGTCAGACTTAATTTCAATTTGTGATAAGTCTCCAATCTGTCTGTGTTTCTAATGGGAAATCAATGAAAGATTCGATCTTAATCATACCAGAGTCATGATGAAAAGGGACTCCACCCACAGAAAGCTACCTTTTGGTGAAATCAGCTATGTTTTTATTCAAACCTATCTGAAAGGTTTTCCTTTCCTAATCTTGAAACTTACCATTTTTTAACTACAAATGTGAGATTCGTTTTTCTTTCACTGATTCTGTAATGGTCTTTGGTAATCATTAACTTAATGAGGATCTTGAAATAATATCCACTTGAAGTAAAACTGTCAAGAAAATGTAATAACTTAAACAATCAAGGTATTCCAGTTTCTCCTTGGAATTCTAAATTCATTCACTCAGTCAAAAATATTTTTTAAATACTTTCTATCAGGGGCAAGGCACTGTTCTGGGTAACTGCATAGCAGAAACAGCAAGATATGTAGGCCCATGCTTGGGAAGAGATGACAGTCTAGTCACTTCCTAATAGAGATGTTCAAAAGTACTGACAGATCAAACTCCTTTGAGCATTTACTATCAAATATACCTAATCATATTCTTAAAATTAAGCCATTTTCTTCTGGCATACATAATGTTAACTATCACATCACCTGTGGAAAGGTAATACAGAATTTCACTTCAAAAAAGACTAAAATGAAAATGAATATATGTATGTATATGCATGACTGGGACATTGTGTTGTGGACCACAAAAAAAAAAAAGACTAAGCTCTAAATGTGAAAGAATACCTATAAAAGGCAGTACCCCAAAACAGAAAATATAGTTAAGTCAAAATTTACAAACAAAACGTACAGTTACAAATGATTCTAAGGAAGATTTTACTCAAAAAGAAATCTACCCACTAATGCATTAAATATAAATGCCTTTTAATCAGCAATGTAACTTCTTAAAAGCATATAACTTAATTAGAACACTGGTCATAAAAATGATTTTCTCAAAAAGGTCTTTTTTTTTTTTTGTAGGATTTAGTACTAAGAGGAGTGAGATAGAAAGCTATGTAAAGATAAATCCAAGTATCTCAGGAAGAGTTTAGTCAGAGCAAAATTAAAACAATGCTGAATGAAATAATAGCATAACTGAAGTTACAGGAAAACAAGAGCTTGGCTCATTAACTTATCACATAACAGTGTACACTTTTTAAAAAGATGTTTTTATAGGAGGGTGTTTTTGTGGTTTCAGCAAGGTATCATATAAGGAAGCAAATTCAGTCAACATTCTGTTGAAAAAAATCTCCATTTTATCTATTTTTTACTGGAATGGTAAAATTTTGCCCTATCAATTTTTATCACTCCAATTCCTAAACATATGATACATAAAATGAAAGCTGTTATTAGTCTCATTGTCACATCTGTTTAATTTTTAGGTAAAAGTAACCAGTGAATTTGTCCTTCCTGTAATATTCCTTCTCCATACTATCACTTAATGTTTTAAAACTGGCATCTTTAATTTATAGTTTAATTTATAGTTTTTTGGTTTTTTGGGGGTAGGAGAATTCACCAAAGTGGATATTCTATAACTTTTTGGTTAATAAATTGGCTCAAGTCACATTTTTAGCCCAGACCCTTTTCAGCTATACTTTCGTAGAAAATATATATCAAAACATTAGCTTTATGGTTATAAAAATGTCTGCTACTTTTTTTTTTTTGACATAATAATACTAAGAGATTTATTGCAACAAACTGGCTACATGATTGTTGGACTGGGTAGGGCGAGTGTGACATCCGTAGGGTAGGCCACTAGGCAGGCCAGGCTGGAATTCTTAAGCATGTTGTCTCCTACCTTTTGAATGTGATTTTTAGTAAAATGTTAATGCCACTTTATAAACACTGCAGGATATACTTTGACGTTTGCCTTTCTCAGTAAAGAGATATGCTTTAAAGCTAATTTACTCATTACTGGCTCAAGAATTTAAAAGGAGATTCCACTTAATGTTAACTGTTTTTTGTAGCTGTAAACTCATAATCTTAACGCCTGGCTTTTCCGCTACAGTATTTCTGAATAATAATTAAATACTTTATTTCATTTGGATGATATTGATATATATATATGTAACCAAATATTGGTAAATTTCAAATCAATCTGTTACTAACCATGAGCTCCATTGACAATTCTTATGATTATCAATTTTAATGCACTAAAATATTCAATAACTTATTTTTACATTTTATGGAAATAAATTTTGAGAAAATTTTATTCAAAACATTAGGAAAATTATACTCACAACATAGAAATAATCGGACTATATAACAATGCTGCATAGATAGTGGTATACAAGTTCCCTGATGCTAGCTAAGTGACTTCTTCCTAACTAAAACTTCAGTTTTCAAGTCACCAGGTAGCAAATGGTAGAGGCATTATTTCCTCTCTCTGAGGCTGGAAAAATGGCTTCAATGGTGAGAAGTCACACCATTTAAACAACAAAGATTATCCCCCAGTTTAATTCTGTTCCCTTCTTGTTACTTCCCACAGATGAAAATTTAGAATGTAAGGATTACTGGAACAGAATAGGAGGTAAATTACCTCTTAGGAGATAACCTGTTCCAAGCCTGCTTTAATCAGATAAAACACTGAATTAAGTTCTAAAAATTACAACCACACCATTATGCTTAACTAAAATTGCCAGTATGAATACTTTTTACATAATACATCACATGTATACATGGAAAAAAATGACCTGTTTCCAATCCTTTTTGACCTTCAGTAGGAAAAAATGTTACCACTAACGAGGATTTGAAAAATAGTTTTCATGGCAGACCATTAACTCTATAGAGCTCAAAATCATTTCTGAATATTGAAAATAGCTTAAATCAATGAGAAATTGCTAAATTTATTTCATAAGATTACTTTTTGAAAGGGAAGACAATTTACTTGGAAGGAATTTGTAGTTGAAAACATTGTTCATTAAGAAAATATTGTTACCCTGAGAAAGACTTAAAATTGCCATTGCTTTCAAAGGCTCCCAACAATGCATGAAGGAGCAATTTGTAGGCTCTAGCTTCTTACAGTCACCTACATGAAGAATGTTCTGACCTAAACAGTGATTTGGGCTTCTCTGTGATACTGGTAACAGGTCACAACCAAGACATGTAAATGTGATGGACGATAGGCAAATTTTGCATTCATTTCAAGCACACTTCTTCCTTTTGTAATTCTTCAGATGGTCTTGGACTCAAACCTACTGTTCACAAAAAATAATCTTCTGTATGCAAGTTGGTAGTTTTCTTATAATAGTAAACAAATTGTCTGGTTTATATTCTCTAGTCTATGCCTAGAAAATAAGGCATTACTAATTCTTCAGTGGCCACTTTAGAGCAGAGACAAGTGTCTTCTTTCCAATCAGAGGTATATGCAAACATTCCTCAAAGTGCATTGTTACTTTTAACATCTCTTATGCATTTACAAAGTCAGCCTTTGTGACTCCCTACATACTTTTAGTGTAAAAGAATGCTTATTCCCAACACCTTACATATACCATAATTACTTGAGAAAAGACAAAATGAGAGCAGTGACAGAAGTAGCAGGATACTTTTTACAAATAAAAATACAATATACAAAAAATGGCAAGTTAGTGATAACTGGTAGTATGAACTCTCAGTAACATTCCACTTTGGGTTCCAAATTAAGATTTGACAAGTTTGAAGCCTTGTCCTGTGTCCAGCACAGTAGGAAGAAACCAACTCATTTTTAATCTTTTCAAGCACCTAAAACAAGTTTTGCAGATCCAAAAAAGGTTCAGACCACACAACCAATTTGCCAAATGCACCAGTGGATATGTAATGCGAGGAAAGTGTAACATCCAGTGCTTGGCCACATCGCTTCCCGTTGGCAAATGCAGAGTGTAGTCACTCCACCGTTTTGACACGCCATACACTGCTTTCACTGTGCGTCCCTTTTCCGTCCAGCAGATGTTATTACTGGAGTTGCAGTTATATTCTACCCAGTCTTTTGTAAAGTCACCCAGCTGTGGTGGGTCAGCTTCTTCAATATCTATCGTCTTTGTCATCTCTGCTCCTTGCACTGCAATATACTGGTCATTGATTTTTCTCACTTCTTTTACCCAAGGGGTTGAATTCTCACTGTCTAGTACGATAATGAGCCGGGAACAAAAGGAACCATTCTTTTCTCGCCACCATTCTAAAAGTGTGTCAAGGCGTAGTATGTCTCCACCTGTGAACAAAAGAAAATTCAGTAGAACAGTAATTTCTTAAGTCTCTTATTAAGAGACATTTGTCTTAAGTGTATTTTTTTTTAAATTCTTGGAATTATGTAAGCAAAAAAAAGGGGGGAGCATTCCTTTCAAAGTATCTTTTCAGAAGAATTTTTAAAAACAGAAAACAGACTTTCAACTTCAGGTAAGAATCAAAAACCAAAAACCAAAAAAAACCCCCCAAACAAACCCAAAAAACCTCAATCATCCTGTTACTCATATTAAAGGGATAGGCTATGCTAAAATAAGAAAATGATTTTGTAATGTTAAATTTAGTGAAAAAAACTATATAGGAAAGCTAATACTCTACACTAGAGGCAGCAAATTGTGGCTCATGTCAAATCCAGCCTGCCATCTGTTTTTGCATGGCCTATAAGCTAAGAAGTAATTTCACATTTTCAAATAGTTTAAAAAAATTTTTAAAACCCCAAAAGTTTGTGACATGTAAAAATTACAGAAAATTAAATTTCATATTATTTCCATAAATAATATTCATTAATTATATTCAGTCTGTGGCTGCTTTTCCACTACAATGGCAGAGCTGAGTAGTTCCAACAGGGACCTTTTGGCCCACCAAGCCAAAAATACCTGACCCTACACAGAAAAAGTTTGCCTACCCCCGTTCTATATTGCTGATAAACTGTTAACTTATCCTCATATGTAGGTACATACTAGATGAAGAACACTTTTCCAACCAATACCATAAATGAGTTTATAATGGATTTATTTTTAAATCAGTTTTATACCTGAAAAACAAGAAAGGATTAAAAGAAAATATACCCAGAAAGGTCTAAAGTAAATAAATGTCTGACCTAGAAACCTGTCTTACAGCTAGTGCATTTTATATATTGTTCACTGTGGATGGTTTTCTGCATTAATTTTGATTTTTAAAGATGTTGCATTAAAATATTACCTTGATTACTTAATTTTCAGCACCCTCTTAAATTTCATGCCCCAGGCAATTGCCATCCTCACCTCACGCTAGTCCTGGTTCTGTCTCAAATGGTACACTAACCCAATCATTCTGATTCTAGGAATTTATCCTAAGGAAAGGGCAGGAATGTGGACAAAAAATTACATATAAAGATCATCTTCCCACTGCTATCTGAGATAGTGTAAAATGAAACAACTAGGGGAAAGGAAATAAATTATGGTATAACCTTATGAGGGTGTCTTAAAATAATTTTTGTAAAGAAATTTTAATGGTAAGCAAATGTCTGTATTAGGAGAAAAAGCATGACACAGAAGTGTATCTACAAAAATAACAGTAGTAGTTATTTCTGGGTGTTTGGATTTTAGGTGGTTTGTGTTATTTTCCAAAAGTTTTACATTGAGTATATGTACTTTTATAATTAGAAAAAAGTTCTGAGGGGAGGGATAAGTTGGGAGTTCAAGATTTGCAGATACTAACTACTATATATAAAGTAGATAAACAACAAGGTCCTACTGTATAGCACAGAGAACTATGTTCAATATCTTATAATAACCTATAATGGAAAAGAATATATATATGTATAGCTGAATCAGTATGCTATACACAAAAAACTAACACATTGTAAATCAACTATACTTCAGTTAAAAAGTTTTAACATGCTACAACTTACTAATACAAACACCAACAACCTAACTTCAGAATATCTTCTTCTACTAAGAGCAACCATCCTCTTTGCTAAACCATCAAAATGACGATACCGAGAGAGAATCCTTTAGAATTTGGATTCTGTCAGTAATAACGACCTCTGAAGCTCACATTCTTCATGAATAGTTAATATTTTTGTATTCACCAGCCTGCTATATCTTAGACTGTGACAGTGAAAAATCTGTTTCATGAGTTGCTCTTACACTCTTGCCTATCATCTCAGAGGCTTGACACATTACTAATGTACTGCCTCACAAAGACCTCCAGAAAGTAACTTTTTAAAAATGATCAAGCTAACTTTGCATTATTGTCAGTTTTATTAAACTTCTCTGGAGATGAGAGGATGACACAGGTTACAGGAGCTATTATACAAATTCCATCTGCCACCAAACATTGTCTAACTTGCCTTCTACAACTATTTCAATAAATACTTTTCAGCACATTCTACACTGATTCTTATATATATATATATAAATGCTCATATATATATGCTCTTTAGATATCAACAAAAGATTTAAAGCAGCATTAAAGCCCTTTAAACTGACTATTTCTCTTATTTTGCTTTGCTTTCTCCTATGAATAGGTTCTGTGTTGAATTTGGCTTTTGGCCCAGATGCAAAGTACTTACATTTATCTCAGATAACAGCCATCTGATGCAGTTCAAGTAATTGAGACTGCTTTTTAAAGGCTTTGTTTATCTGTGATAAACTGCCTTATGGGTTATCTGCATTTCCCCCATTTATTTCTATCTCTCTTGTCATTACCATAATTGTTTTTTACCCTCAAGCAAAGAGGCAAAAATATCAGGTGCCATATTATGAAACCCCATAAATGGAGGAAGACTGCATATTCTAAGAAGTACTGTGAGTAAAAGTACGGGATAAAGGGCAAATCCAGATTTCTTTCTCACAGTGAGTTCCAGATCTGCTGTTCTTAACTTGCTAACTGAAGTAAAGCCCAGTCATGTTTCCTATTTAGAGGTTTTTAGAAAGATAACTATTAATAAATTCTCGGAGCTTCGAGTCCCTTGCTGCTTGGTTTGGAATGGATTATAGCATTTTCTTCAGAGCAGAGGTGTTCAACACTATTACTGAGATAGAATTAGCCTTTGAGGGTTGTCTTGGGCAGGCGAGGGGTAGGAACTGACCGAAAAGACAGCTCAGCCTTTGGGCCTGGTTTAACCTGCAAGCAGGCCAGGTGCCTCAAGTTGTGGGAGGATACAGTTGCTGAATTATGGGACAATACCTACCCCTTTTGGGAAAGGGAAGGTATGCTTTCTCTATGGTTTTTCTTACTTTTATAATAAAGTCTCTCACAAAGAAAGTTACACATACAGGAACAAATCTTCTTGGCTACTAGGATTATATAATGGTCAACTTATTAATGACATACTTCAAAAAATATTATAAAGATATCACTGCAGAACTTAACTGCTAGACATTTACCTAAAATATAACCCTACTTTAAAGTTTAAGTCTTTATAAATTATTCCTAACTCACAGTAAATGAAAATTTAAGGGTACTGATATATTATGCTATCTATCTTGGTGTCTGTTACTCTTCCTAGGACAAGAAAAAGCTAATATAAATATTAATAAACTGAATATCTAGAATTTATTTCCAAAGTCATCTTTTTAAAAATATTTGAAATAAATTGTAAAAGATTTTAGAAAAATGCAAACTTTTGGAAAAATGTTTGTATTAAGTAATAAATCTTTCATGTAACCATATTACATGCTTACTTTTAAAATTATTTTATTACAGTACTTAAAAACTAAGGATATATGCATGACCACCAAAATTATGCCTTCCCCCCTCCTTTAATTTGAGAAGAGTTTATTACAAGCATTGCAGTAGTTTTCAATAATCAACCCCTGCTTTTAGTTCTGAAATTTTAGTTCTGTAAAGATTTTTGAATGAACTATAATTTTTTTCTTTTGTGCTCTGGAGTACACAAAATGGTATACTTTACCTGGAATTGATATAGCCATAAAGGTTAAAAAGTTATTTTCTACACTGAGTCATAGAAAAGTTACAGGTAAAGTAAATGATTTTATAAATTACCATATTGAAGTAGTTTTGACATTGAATAGCATCTTCTATATTCTAACATTGAAAATGGGTGAACCATGCCAACAAAAATATCTACTTAATCATAACATGCCATTTCTCTACCTTCATGATTTCCACCTTTGGCAGCAACATGGTACAATGGTAAGAAAATGTTAGGGGTCAGACAGATTTGGGCTTGAATCATGATTCCATCACTTAGTAGTATTATGACCATAGAAAAAGGGTACAACCACTTTCAGCTGTCATTTTATCCTTTGAAAAATGAAGATGATAGAGGTCATAGGATTTACCCCAAAAAATTTTAAGTGAAGATTGTATCTAATAATGTGTGTAAAGTAACATGCACAGTAGTAGCTGTACTTCAAAGGTGCTTGGTAAGTGTTAGTTTGCCCTTTACTCCTTCTAGACAGCCATTGAGTTACTCATATTTATTTGCAAAACCAAAAAATTATAAAAATATGTTTATGATAAAACCCTCGTTACCAATCTGGCATGAAATCAGTCAGATTAAGATGGTTTGAAATCATCTCTTCTTTAACCTTGAGTTTGTTTTACTTTCTTCTGGAATTCCTGTGTTGGCGCTCTTCCTCCGTCCTTCCATAATACTTCTGTTTATATTTTTCTTTGATCTGAATCTTTTTCTACTTATTTTATGACTATTTTATTGTTTGTGTTTGAGGTGTAAAACATCTAAAATATTTTATAGAAAAAAGGATATGATTAAATCTAACTATTTCTAATTTAAAACAAGACAATTACCCTTTTTTCATGATTCATTCAGTGACCTCATCTATCAATCAATTACTTAAGGATCTCTTCCTATATGCCAAGCTCTCTTCTAGGCACTAAGCAAATAACTCATAAAACAAAGACTTTGACTTTCAGGGTCTCTATTCTAGTTGGGGAGACCAACAAACACATTTACATATAAACAGGTCTCATTTCTTCTTTGGCAGGGAGATTTAAATTACCTCTTCTATTTACAGATAAGATAACTGAAACTGACAGAAGTAAAGTAACTAGCCTAAAACAACACTGTTCAGGCAAATTAGGGCCAGAACCAAGGTCTTGGACATAAGGACTATTCCAACCATATCACATCATCTGCTGTTTAAAAATTTTGGTGAGCTTTTTAACATAAGTAGAACTGCACAAGTGAAGAAACTACTGAAGTCAGCATCCATAACATTTAAAGACTTAGAAGTATTAGTCAAATAAGTTAATCAGCTTCTGAAAAAATGTAGCTATGTTTAATAATTCTGAAAATATTTTAAAGGGAACTAATTGTAAGTCTCAGATCAAGCAGTCCAATTGTTTTCTTCCAATCAATACAATTCTCAAAACCTTCAGAGATCACTAAAAGTACACTAAACAAGTATGCTAGAGAAAAAGAAAACAGTCATATACATATTTGGTAAACTGTTTAGTGGAGAACTGAGAATTCTGGAAACTTAATGTTTCAGTGTAAAGGATAGAGTCCCATGAATAAGGGTATCTTCACGGTAGTGAAATTGCCAGAGGTGGATTTACCTGCAAGGGCCCATTCTCCTGTACCGTGGGTGTGCCCACTGTAATACAAAACATACGTATCGTGTCTGGGTCCATCCACAGTCCGAAGTTCCAGGAAAGCTTTCAGTTTGGAATGTAGAGTATCAAAAGACAGTCCACTTGTGGAATAGTCACATCCGTAGATCTCAATCATGTGATACGCAAAAAATCTTTGGATAGCATTAAGCATGCCAGTAGACCTCAAATTTAACTCCTGTACATGTTCTGGTGGAAGAAGTGTTGGTTGACCATCAGGACTGAAAGAGGAGCAAAAAAAGAAAGATTATTCTGGTGTTTTAAGAAGTGTTCGTTCTATGTCACATTCCTGTTCTTTATTTATAATAAATTATCTAAGGATCCTAAATTGCTCCTAATTAAATGGCAGGATTTTTAAAATACCATCTTTTCTAAAATTCCTATAGTGCTAACAATTAAGCTTGGAAAATCAAAGCCCAGTTTCTAAAAATTATGTCTTACCAATAATACAATAAACAAACTGAAAGCTGGGAGAATATCTCCAAATGTAGATACTGCAACTTTTTGTTTTTATTCATATCTTCTTACCAAAAGACAGATGAAAAAGCAAGAGGATACTAATTTTATCCCAAAAGTGTTTCAAGAACACCTGGGTGGGTACAATAATAAAATAACTTTTTTCTTGAGAAAAAAATTTTAACAAACTATGGAAGCAATATTTTAAATTATATATTTAATTTCTATTTTGAAAAAGACAAGTCTTTATAAAGTTTTGTTCAAGTTTTATTAACTTAAGATACATAAATGATAGA